GCGCGGCGCTCGGGGGCCCACCATCGAAGTTATTGAAATTCGAAGGTAGGAGCATGATTCTACCTGTTTTGAGATTATTTACGATATGTCATGCCTTAAACACGACGAATGGTGTACAATGATTTTTTCTAACATTAGGTAGGAAAGTACACCCTGACCTATTCTTTGGCTCGAGAGCGCCAGCTACGAAGACCAATACTGACGGTTTTGATACTTGAAGTGGGCTGCGCTGATCAGTTTTTACTGGACGGTATGTTTTGGTTTTGTTGTAACAAGCCAGGTATCATTATGTGGCACTCGCCTTTCCATGGTCCACACCTAAAACCCAAACCTCGGAGACATTTTGCAGCCTCCTGAAGATCAAGGTTCGCATGTGCTCATTTGCATCTGTATTTACTCGAAATCTTTGCAGCCATTGCCAAAAACAATCAGGGAAAATGCCATTTTTGGGGACCAGTCAATGTTGGCATACCCACGAGATCAATGGCACCAAGATTTGCTGCCCATTTCTTTTTCTTCTGCTTCTTTGCCAAAGAAACCCAGAGGAGCACCTAAGAAAAGCAATCCCAGGGCCACTCAGAAAAGAGCAAAATGCTGGGATGTCTTTACATGAGCTCCCTGTGTCTTGTGATATTAACAGACATCAGAAAACAACGGGGAAGAAAATAATGACAGTACCAAAACATACATAGTGAGCCCCTGCATAGTACCAATGGTAAGAGAAGAGTACTATGTTGCTTACGATGCTGTCCAGCAAATTCAAATACCCATGGCAGCCCCAGATATCTAGGGGTGGGTGGTAAGCTCAGCATATGCAATGAAAAATGCCAGTCATGGGACTGGGGGACATGAGAGGTCCGCTAGGCAATCAGGAGCGATGCTGGCCTGCAGACCAGCACCATAACAAGGATGAGTCAGCAAGTACAATACAGCCGACAGTTGACCTAGGGTGGGGGGCTGCCTGTTCAGTCAGCATCCATTGGCTGCATAGCCTGCCACCAGTTAGCCATACCCAGTCGGTAGTGAAGGGCGCACCCTGCTTGATCAGCTCGCGGATCCGCTCCACCTTGCCATCGGCCGCCTGCTGCAGTAGCTCGCGGCCAAACTCCTGCAGGCTGTTCTGCGTGACGGCCGGCAGCTGTCCCTGGCCCTGGCCCTGGTGGGCCTGCCCAGAGGCAACAGCCACCGCTGCCTTGATCAGGGCCAGCTCACTGGCAGACAGCGGCTTGCCTGCATGAGCCTGCAGAAGAGCATTGCACTAGGTATCACACCTACAGACACTTAACAGCACGGCACCTAGAAAAATAGCTCTGTACATTTTGATCAACACAAGTCAATCATCATAACCATTTTGTGACAAACCCACGGCACTATGCCACACAATGAAGCTTTAAGCTGTGTCATACAGAACAGCAGACCATGTGGCCAGTAGGGCTGGCATTTTGGCCAAGTAGAACTAATTAATATACTTAGCTGGCCTGTGACAGCTCAAGCAAGCCTGACTACCAATTAACAAACTGACTCCAAGCCAAACTGGTCTTTTAAGTTTTATGCTTACCAAGGAGCACATACCCAACAATAGGCTTTAAGCTACAATCAATGTCATCTGAACACTGTCAATAAAAACTGGGATACCTGTTTTTCTTAACATATCAGACATTTGTATGCTGCACTGGCCATGCAAGATGGTAATGCATGGGCTACATACTCTTTGACACTTTCACAGTGCTTACTCAGGCTACAATATAATAAACTAGACCAGGCCAGGCTGGTTTTAAGCAAATTAGGCACCCCTTATTTACTTCAGGTTGAAACCTTAACCATTGCCTTGTGTTGACATGTGGGAAGGAAACATGACATTAACATAAACTCTCAACCAGAAATATCATTTCCACAGGTGATGCAACAAGCTGTTCTCATACACCACATTACATATGGGGAGTTCTGTTAGATACTGTGCACTGCAAGAATAATTGAACAAAGAAAAAATACCAAATGATTTAGAGCATCATCTAATAAGGGCTTTACAGTGCACTCAAAAGTCCTCTGTAAGCTTTCCTATCACCAACAGAACAGAAAGGACATTGATAATGACATTCCAATGTGGAGGCCATCTTGAAGGTCAGACAAGACCATTCCAGCAGTCTAGCAATCATTTACTGGAGGACCCTGCCCATGCAACTATTTCTATGCTCACAATACATTTAACATAGTCTGATTCATGGGTGTCCATGTAATGCCTATTTAACACAAACAGTCCTAACTGTACCTAAGTTGCTTAGTCCCACCATACAGGAGAAACCCGAACATAAGCCCCTCAGTTTTCTTTTGATGATGCCACAAGGTTTGGCTATCATTCAAAAGAGAGATCTAAGATGCAAAAAATAAAGAAGTCTGCTGCATTAAAGCAACTGAAACAATGACGTTTTTTAATACCTGATTTATTCAGATAACTGTCTCTACAATCCTTCCCACGAGCCGCACCCTATTCAAACATGCTCCCATGAGTATGGAAAAAATGCACTATAATTTCTAGGGGACCATCATGCAAAATACATCTTCCTTCATACATAACCAAATTAATCTGCGCCACGTTCGCATCATTTCGCCAAAGTCCGCGGCCATCTTTGAGGGCAACATATCTTAAAACGGAAATGGCACAGTGCCCGATGGTAAAATTGTTATTTAGTGTGTTACAACACGCGAGACTACGGCCCTACTAACCATGGTCTGGCGCCAACAAAACACCCTTCAATCACCAAAACTATTTCTGACGATTTCCATTCAATCAAAAACACCCCGTACACGCGGTGTGCGATTCCACTGATGGTGACTCACGACCCTGCCAGACTTGGGCACCGATTGCCGCGCCATCTATGCACCACCATAATTTCCTCTACGGTTAAAAGATCCGGGTCAATCCCTGGCAAATCGCGAAGCGCCGTGCGTGAGCCTGTCATTGCCTGCATCCTCGTGGGATTGTGCGTTGCATGGCTGCACGCGGCAGCGTGACAGAGTGGAGGCGTGCATGGCACAATCTTTCCGTGAGATTTTCAGTCGCCAGAGCTTTACCGGGTATGAGAGGCGTTGGCCTGCTCACGCTAAGAACGGATGAGAACAGGAGCGTTGTCTCACAGTATTGAGGTGTGTGGTGGGTGGGGGGGGGGGGGGGCAAAACAATGGAAAGTTATTATTCTACTCCCGAATATGTGCCAACAAAGTGGTTTGCCTGCACTTGGCCGGCTTACTTCTCAAATCTGGGAGCATTCCAACTTTGGGGTAGGGGCAAGAGCGACCCTTCAACCGAAAAGGAAGTCGCACTCCGGCATCATATGCCTTTCATAAATTTCTAACCATATTTTTGACCAATTTCCCCCTCTGCCCTCTCCCTCGTTACGCGCAGAGCGGAACCCTGGGCCCTCGCCCTCCAAGTGCGGCGGCACGCGCCAAAGTGGTAACGTCCGTCTGGTCCGTAATTGAGCTAAACATTTGGAAAAGGACTGCATGCTGCTGTTCGTAGGAGGGAACCGAGGATGCCCGGATGAGGTCTAAATACATCGAAAAAAGAATGACGTGATTTGAGACCACGTTTGAGGGTCGCACCACGCTGCGCAGCCTACCTCGCTCCACCAGAACACCCACCCCATTCACGCGCGCTTAACACATGGCCGGCTCTGCGATTCGTAACCTCAACTGCGCAGTCCTGGAGCGCTTGGAACGCATCTTGCCGCGCGGCATTATGGGTCCATGGCACATGGCTTCATGGGCGTGACCATCGGCAGGGCCGATCCATGTCGAGGTAACGCCTGAGCGGATTGCGCTATTCTTGTCTCCAACCGTATGCTTTGGTAACGAGCAAAAATGGATCTCAGCAGCATCCAGGGCGTGGTTGCACCCATGTGTGACAAAAGTCGCTCTCCGCGGAGTGATTTGATCAACTCTCTCGACGAGGCGACGTAGCTTCTGAGACCTGTCAAGATCAATGCCAAATAACCCTGGTATGTTTCATGTATATTTATCAAAGACATGTTCTCACAAGTGGCGCTTGGTATGCCATTTCATAGCTCGTGATTTCCAACACTTGGCTATCAGGTTATAACAAAGTGAGGTGGTCCGTTTCTGCAGAGTATTGCCGAATCGGTAGACTGTTGCTCCACTGTCTGGGCCAATACGACACCCTTCACACGAGAACAGGATCCACCCGACCTGAAAAGCTACATTTCAAAGCACCATACAAAAACTAATGTGCTTTGACTGGCAGTTCAAACAAATGACTGACAAAAGCAACATGCTGGTCAGATGGTATGGCAATTCCAACCTGCTCTCAAGAGAATCAGGGCAAAATGTCTGCAGTCTTAATTTTCACAATACCGCTATTGTGCAGTACTGACAGCTCAGCACCAAACAATGGGAATGAATACAATTTACCACACAAAAAGGAACAAAAATGGATAGGCCACCCACATCTGGGATCTCATCATGCCATCCAGCAGATCTCCAATGGCCCAGAAAGGCTGGTAATACATAGGTGGTTAGAACACTTCCATTATATTTACCCCATTGTGGCTTATATATTCTGGACTGTCGCGCATTCAATTTGAATACCCGAGCCAGGCTGGAGCACTTACGTCATCACCGTCAGATGCGAACAGAATATCACAACAAATAACGAGCACACGCGATGCGCGAGTGACGCCGCCCTGCGGCCGGCAGCTACACTAGAAGTTCCGTCCGTAGAAGACATAGTCGCCGCCGTCCAGGGAGTCCACCGGGGTAAAGGTGACCTTGGTGAGCAGCTCGCGGGCCGCCATGTCGTCTGCCGGTACGCGCACATGCGCGCCGAAGCAGCCGCAGGTGCGCAGCACGGCCATGCTGCAGGCCGCTAGGCGCTTCACCAGACTGGAGTCGGCCACGCTGGGGAGCACGGCCAGCCGCATGCAGCCCTTGAAGCGCTCCAGCAAGCAGGCCGGCGGCTCCAGCGCGTCCTCGCCGTGCAGCGCCGCGATGCAGTTCTGCGGCGCCGGGCGCGTCGGGTCACAGCCGGCCCAGGCCACCGGCCGGGTGCAGTCAGGTCCGTAGCACCGGGCGACGTCGGCACCACACGGCGTTCGCCCGCGACACAACCAGACAGTGGCGGCCGCTGGCAGGAGGGTACACCGCAGCGCTACACAAAAGCGCACACGCAACCCGCGGCGAACTCAGAGAAGGGGGACGAGGAACAATGCCGCACACCTTGAAAGTGAAATACACCGATTTGCACGACTTTGCTTGGTTCTTGGCACAGTACGCACCAAATGTGGACCCCTGACAAACCTAAGCTTCTCCCACGACCTGGTGCTGGACCAATCCCGCACACAACCACACCATCATTTTACACTGCGATCTCATCCCTTCAAAAGCCACGCACAACTCCCGGCTACATAACCAGACAGAGCAGCGCGCCTCCACGTCTGGCGCTGGCTCCCCGCAGCCAGAGCCCCTCTGCGGCTGGCCGGCGCGCGTCTCACCTGAGCTGGGGAGCGGCGCGCGGGCGGCGTGTCTGGCATCGGATACTTGAGCCGCATCTCCTCCAACCAGGAGACGGCCAGCTGGCGGTGCAGCTGGCGGGCGTCGGGCGCGGCGGCGGCGAACGCCACCACCGTCTCGTCGTCGTCCTCCAGCACCAGGCAGTGCTGCGGCTGCAGCAGCAGGAACGGCGCCACCCACCTGGCGCGGCGCGCCGGGCGCCGTCAGGGCGACGCCGGCGCCGGCACCGACGGCGACAGCCGGACTCAGCCGACAGCGGCGAACGAAAGACGGGCTCGGGACGGCTCTCCCACACGCACACACACACATACACGCGCGCACGCACGCACGCACGCACGCACGCACACACGCGCGCACGCACGCACGCACATTATGAACAGACACGGCAGCCACTAGCCAGTAACTGCCCCCCGCACAGGCCGCGACCCGACCGGGCCCGGTGCCCCGCCGGCGCCAGCCGACGCGTCCCACCTGTCGGCGCTGAGCTCCGGGTACTGCTGGAAACTGGGGTGCGTGTCGCCACTGCACTGGTGCCAGACGGCGCGCACCGCCTGCTCGTCGGCGGCGCGGTACGGCCGCACCAGGCACACCTTGGTCAGCGGGTGCTCCGGCGACTTGTTGGCCATCAGGTCGCTGGCGTTGTCCAGCGGCAGCAGCCGCTGCCGGCGCCACATAATCGGTCACAAGCCAGTGGGGCGAGGCGGCGTCACGGTCACGGCTGGGCGGCCGCCGGTCCGCCCGCCCTCCTCGCTCGACCACCGCGCCGGCACCGACACGGAAGGCGGTCTGTATATCTACGAGTGCTGTGGATAGGTTAACACCTCACCGTGACACCGTCTGTAGGGGAGCGCGGGGACAGTGACACTGACATCACAACTGGGCCAAGACATTCCTGTGCGTCAGCGCCACGTTAAAAGGCGTTGAGCATCAGGAAGAGCATGCGTGCGCGCTCGAGCGGCGACGCTGCGGAGCGGCGTCCCACGCGGTACGTACCTCGAGGTCGCCCGTGAGGCCGCCACGGAAGATCCAGGGCTCGTTGTCGCCCGACATGAACGACTCCTTCCATCCCCTGGTGAACCCTGGCCGGCCAGACGCGGGTCAGCGAGGCCGTCACCAGAGCACGCACACAGGCTAGTCCGGGCCGGCGTCAGGGCTCGAAACCCATTCTGCGCGTCGCGTTATGCGGATGAACTCGAGACAGACGTATTTGATTGATACAATTTGCCCTGAGATGTATGGAGCACATCCACCAACCTACGCTATTGACCGCATGGTTTGCTGCAATGCGCGACAATTCTGTTACCAAAACAGGGAGATTTCGTAAGATTACCAGACCAAGCTGCGCACACTTACCCAGAAGCAGCGTCCTGGTGTGTTCTAGAAATCAACAACAGCAACAAAGACCCGGACACAGATGTCGCAGCCCATTAGGACATGAACATGACTCACTGGGACCTGCCGTGAACCGGTAACCAACACCTGCTTTGACTGCCTTCCCAGTGACACTTTGGACGCGTGCTGGTGGCCGTGGACCCGGACTAGCCTGCTGTGTACAGAGCGGCGCCGGGCGCGGCGGCGGGCGACGGGCGACAGCGGCGGGGACGGGGGCGCAGCGCGCGGCGGGCCGGCCGGCGATGCGCCGCGCGGCCGGCCCTAGCGGTGGGCGCAGCGCGCACCCAGGCCGGGCCCCGACCCGCGCCGCCCGGCCGCGGCCGCGCTGGCGGCCGACCGCAGCGGCGCGCCGAACGGCGCCGGCCCCTTCCCGGCGGCCGGCCGGCGAGCGCGGCCGCGCCGGCGCCTGGCGCCCACATGCCGCACCAGCGACGGCTCAGAAGTTCAGACGCGCGCGCGAGCGCCGGACGGCCGCTGACCCAACCCGGGCCCGACCGAAGGTCATCCGGCTGCCGCGCTGCGCCGGCCCAATTTAGCTCGGCCGTCTCGGGCGCGCGCGAGCGCCTGAAATTCTGAGGTGATACGCATCCAGCTGAAAGGAGTAATGGTCACGCCGGGCTGTGGAAAGAAGTGGCGTCAGGCGGGGCGCGGCCTGGGGTGGGGGGCGGGGCGCGCCCGACCCCGGGCAGAGCGGCCGCTAACACGCCGCTCCTGAGAGACGGCCGCCGCATACTGCCGGCGGCTTGACCCGCGGCCGCGCTGCGCCGGAGCGCCGGGCGCGCCGCGCCGCGTTCGCCATGCGCGCGCGCGCGCAGCCTGCTTGGCTCCTGCTCTCTGCTCTCTCGGTACGGGCCGACGATACCACCTACATGTATAGTTTCCCTCGACATGGCTGGACGCCAGGTCGCACACGACACCCATCGCTGTGAAGAAGAGAGAGAGATGTGGCGGTTAGCAGCGTGCGGCGCTCCGCTCAGCCTCCTCTGTCTCTCTCTCTCTCTCGCTCTCTCTCTCCAGCTGTGTGGTGATGAGAGCACGTTACCAGTTAACGCCGTGCGCCCCCCGTCCCGTCTACCCCTCCCTCCAGCGCCGGCGGCAAGGCGTGGCCCGCGCCGCTGCTGCCCGCATCTCTCTCGCACCAGTCACTGTCTCCTGGCCGCGCACCGGCGTTCCCGGGTTTTGCATGGGCCGGCGGCGGCGGCCGGCGCCCGCAGTCGGCCAAGGGGCCGCTACATGGGTCTGTCCGCCTGTCTGTCTGTCTGTCCAGCTGGTGCGGCGCCGCGCCTCAGCGGGCCGGACAGGCAGCGGTGCCGCCGCCGGGGCGCACCGGGCTGTACCGTTAGACGCTGCGCGGGCCCGGCCGGTCGCCGCCGGATGCAAAACACGAGATCGCCTGGCCGGCCAACAAACCTGGTCCCCGGACGCCGCTCGGTCGGCGGCCCGGGCGGCCGACGGCGCGGCGCGCGCAGCAACTCTGGGCTACGTTAGGGCGCGGCGCGCGCGCAGGCGGTGAGCTCACGACGGCCGACCGAGCGGCGTCACAGAAGAGCCGCGGAGCGCGCTGTGAAAAGAAACTAGGGCCGGGTTTGAGTTGTGGCAGACTGCCTTGCCTCTCTCCGTGCTTGCGTGACCAGCCCAAATGCGAAAAAACAGCAAACAGCCAGCTTCAGACCGACTCAATGACTCCAGCTCCCACCGAACGTCCCGCTAGCGTACTCGACATCGAACGCGACCCAACGCCGGGTTCCGTAGTGCACCAGCAACGCTCGCCAGTGTGACAGCAGTCGGCAGCACGGGGAGAGACGGAGGCAGCCCCCCAAAAGTCAACCCCGGCGGCGGGAGAGTTCGGTCCTCCGAACGGAGAGAGATGCGGGCCGGCAGCAGGCCACCAGCAAACTTTAACCACACTCCGGACTCAGCGGCCGTGCCGGCTAACACATCTGGCGTCCAAGGCGACGGCATTACTCGACGCACGGAGCAGCGCCAGCCGAATCTGGCTCTGACTTCCCTTCCCGGGCGGCGGGGCAGCTGCCAAGCGGCCGCGACACCGCGGCCGAGGCGAGCGGCAGCGGCGGCGGCGGTGGTAGCGACTGCGGTAGCTCGGTCTAACGGCACGCCGCCGGCCGGTGCGTCCGGTCAGCTCGGCCGCGGCGCCGGGCGGCGTCTAAGCCGGGCACCGCCGGCTCTGGCCCGCCCCGCACTCACCCAGCCACCGGACGTAGCCGTTCAGCTGCGACAGCACCGACTCCATGTCCCAGATGTACGGGTACAGGTCGTAGAGCAGCGAGCGGTTCTCGCAGAGGAACAGTCGCTTCAGAAGCCGCTTCACCCGCTTGGCCATGGCGTCGAAGGCGGCCGCCCGGTCGTACCACTCACGCGCCTGACGGGGCGCGGCGGACCTGACAGCGGCCGTCCGCTCCTCCCACTCAGCCGCCAACCATCACACGCGCACAAGCGCAGCACGGCCGCGCCTGTGTCCCTGTGGTGCGCGGCACCACAGGGCCACAAACGGCGCCTCTGGGCGGGGAGTAAGCAAGACCACAAAGGGCCACAAACGCGAAGTAAGCAAGACCCTAATGAGCACCATCATCCTAAATGGGCCGCCCGTCAAACCAGCTCAGTAAGTACATACCCACGTTTGAGATTGAGCAAACTGGCAGACTTCTAAAGTGTACCCCATGTGCACAAATTTCATGGTGCAAGGACCGCCATCACCCCGCGAGCGACTGTGCCTGGGCCGTCGCGCGTAGGTGGGCGCCTGCCACCCACCTCTGGCGGTAGGGACTCGTCGATCTTGCCCTTCCTGGCGTAGGGCACCACCAGGCTGCAGTTGGACTTGAGCCACTGGAAGTCCTTGAGAAGCCGGAGGCCGGCCGCACCATGCTCGAACGGCAGGTAGAAGAGGTCCGACATCACCATCAGGTCGTCCTCAGTCAAGTCCTGCGGGCACGTGCGGCGGACGGCGTCGGCGCCGGCTCGACATGCGCGGCCGCAACATCGCTGCACTCGCGGCAGACCACTACCAGGATAAGGGTCTGCGGCTCTCCATTATCTTTAAGTCCAAGCCGATATCCTAACGGCACGTCCGTTACAAAACTACGCCTGCCGCCCTCCCCCCTCGCCGTCCGCAGACGCCTCATGTACCCGTTGCTGCCGACGAAAATACCTGCACAATTTCCTTCCATTCCCTCCCCCGACCAGCACCGGTCGGCTCACCTCCTCCTCCTCCTCGACGGACATGGTGGCGCTGGCGGGGGAGTCGTCGGCGGGCGCTGCGGCGCCGTCCGGGCCTGGCTCCAGCTGCATGTCGGGCGGCCGCGCCGGCCCTGACTCCACGGCCATCGGCTCGCCGGGCGCCGCCTCCGCCGCCGGCTCCACCTGCCAGAGCGGGGAGGTCAGGAGAGCAGACACTGCCGCCGGCTCCACCTGCCAGAGCGGGGAGGCCAGGACAGCAGACACCGTCGTCTGCTCCACCTGCTGCAGCGGGGAGGTCAGGACAGCAGATTTCGTCGCTGACCCGGTGCGGGCGGAGGCGATGATGAGAAGACAGAGAAGGCTGCTGCTCTAGCTAGGCTGAACAACCATTATGATCGATAACACGACACCTCATGGGAATGGGGCTCACCAATAAACTACCATTGCATGCGCTGCATAACAGTGCATTGGAACCAGCAAATACAATGCAAATAGGGTACTCTTACACTTCTCACACACTATGGTGAACCATCGTCCGCGGGGGAGGCATATCAGCAAAACGAGAACGGCCGACAGCGGCCGCTGAGCCAGCACATCGGCACCGCCAAATCTGCACCGAAGCTAAGAATTCCAAGTAGGGCGGATCAACATTTAAATACTAACACCCACCAAATCCCGAAACTCATTCTTTTAATGTGCATTTAAATGAAGCATGTACTGCAAGGGTTCATACACGTGCTGTCCTCAGTTTATCTGAAGTAAATCGAATCATGGGGAGCACTGGGACCGCTTCATCCCTCACACCTTGCCTCGCCCTCACGCCCTCACTGTCCACAACGTTCGTCCGAGTCGCTCGGGCGCAGAGTTCGCCCCGCGCCGTCGCTCCTCGCTGGCCCGACCGCCTGAGGGTCTGGCCATCAGCGCCGGCTGCCCCACCTTGTCGGCGGCGTCGGCAGGCGCGCTGTTGCACTCCATGGGCTCGCAGGGCGGCCCCGGCTCAGCCGGCTGCTCGGCCAGCTCGCCGGGCGTGCTCGGCACCACGATCTTCTCGGCGTCCGCCAGCGAGTTGAGTACGGGCCCCGTTACGCCAACCACCTCCTCCGCCTGCCGACACGTCATGCCAGGTCAGGTCAGGTCAGTGGTGTCCCCACACTGAACAGCAGCCCGCCGCACCAGGCGTCTGGCGTCACCTGAGGGCACAGCTCAGGTCCGGCCAGCCCCGCCGTCCGCCGACCAGCCACCTAGCCGCAGCCGGCGCCTCAACACCCCCGCGGCGCGAGCGCACCGGCCGCGCCCATCACAAGCGCGGGGTCTCACCCGCCTGCTCCTCTGACCGGCCAGCGGCCGGCCGCGCCTCACCTTGATAATCTGCGCCTCGGCGATGGCCTGCAGCTGCTTGACAGTGCCGGCCGGCACGGACGTGGTGTCCGTCGTCACCGTCGACGTGGTGGCCATGCACGTGTTGATCCCGGGGATGGGCACCGGCGCTGCGGCGGACCGCGCACACTTCAGTCACACGCCAGCGCCGCCGGCACCGCTGGCGCGCGCGCCGCCCCGGCCTCACACGTCTACTAGTTTGTACTACATACTTTCAGTTTACGAGTGTTCAGTTCCACACACACGACACACCAATCTTCGACACCTCGGGGAAAAGCGTACTGCGAGCGTTGCTGCTAAACTGCGCGTCACCTGGCCGTGATTGCCACCCCCTTGATAGGCGAACCTGCCGCACCACACCGCTGTCCGCCTGCCGCACCTGGTCCCTCCAGCGCGCCGGGCGTGATCGTCAGCACGCGCTGCTGTAGCGCACCGTGCGCCGTGCGCGCCTTGTTGAACTCGGGCAGCCACTCGCGCAGCGCCATGCGTAGCGCGTGGCGCGGGTGGTAGACGTCGGGTGGCACCTGGTGCGGCTCGGCCCCCTCCTCAGACTCCGTCTCCAGCCGGATGTCGGCCGACAGAGGGTCGTCTGCCGCCGCAGTGTCAGCCGTCAGCCGCCACACACCGGACAACACCGCAGCGCGGGCGCCGCGCAGCCGGTGGCGGACGCCGACCGTCGGACAGACGAGGTGGCTGTTACCCACATTGACTATGGACTAGCATTCGCGACAAACTTTTACCACGTTTTAAAACTGCAAACACACTGCCGCACACATTCCACGCAGAACACAGCCGACATTGCCAACAGTACTCTTCCAGAACACATATGATCCTGCCCTATCAGCCAGTGAGCCGGCAGCACTCGGCCCCTGTTCAGCAGAGTCCGGCTGGCGATGGGAGGCCGCGCCCCGGCCACTCACTGGGCGGCCGCGGCGGCTCCCCGTCCCGCCGACACTGCGCCCAGTGCGCCAGCGTCCGGATCGCCACGTAGTTGACGCCGTACTCGCAGTTGGGGTTGGTCAGTACGCCGCGCAGCCGGGACCGCAGCTCCACCGGCCTGGTGGCGGGGCGTGAGTGCTACACACGTGGCATGGGTACATGTGCGGCTCCGTGCGGATCGCGCCCGCTGGAGGGGCACGTTGGGGGCATGGGGCTCATTCGGGCACGGTGGATGTATGAACGTGTACGTGTATGAACGACGCACCCTCGTTGAGAGGCGGCGGCATCGGACCGCAGGTGGCTGATACGACTCCAAATTGCATCCGCGCCAAACCAACATAAGATAACAATACTTGACCACGTTAACCAATCAAGCACATTTTAAGACATTCGTCATTCCTTTCACGCGCATTCCACTCTGTAAAATGTGGATTATCAAAAATAAGATGGTGATTGCTGGGGAGAGGGAAAACCTAAGCATGCCAATTACCAACTTATTAGGACAAATAATAAACATCTCTGTCCACTATGCAACTACAATTGAATACGAGAAATTTGAAAACGGCACAAAGACAAAAGCTGGCACGTCACCGGCACGCTGGCCGGCGAGGCTTCCCAGCCGGCGGCGGCGGCGGCGGCGGCTCGCACCTGCCCGAGTACGGCCCCAGGTAGAGTCGCTTCTGGTCGTAGTCGTTGGCGTGCAGGTTGTCCCAGATGACGGGCGGCCGCTTCAGCACCTCGCGCAGCTCCTCTATCGACTCGACCGAGAGCACCTTCGACACCACCTTCGGACCTGAGGCGCAGAGCATGCCGTCGGATGGGTGTCGGTGGCGGCCAACCAGACAGCCGAGTCATGCTCATTGCACGGAGAACCAGGTGTCACACCACTCAAACCATGGCGTAGTTTGTCAGCTCTACAGGCCAGCCCGACCAGCCGGTCGCGCCGGCCAGCCACGGGCGCCGCCAGTCTGAAGGCCCAGTGCCCCGGGACTCCGAGAAGTAACACGGCAACAGAGATCAAATTATTGCTTAACCAATGTCCCGCACGGATCGTTGGTCTGCCCCGCCCCCACCACAGCAGCAGTCTGCGCCACCCCCGCCCCGCACCAGCCATCATCCCCGGGCACCACACGCTGCCGCCGCCGCCATGTCCAGCGTGCGGCCGGCCGTCGAGCCGCGGCGGCCGGCGCGCCACTCACCGGTCCACATGATGTCGATGTTGGGCGCCAGCTTGCTGCCGATGGTGCGCAGGTACTCGGAGCCGGTGACTGTGGGGATGGCGCGCGTGGCGCAGTACTGGGTCGGGCAGAACAGGAACTGCGGCCGGCTCAGGTGGTCGTTCATCTCGTTGGTGACGGTCACCTGCGGCGGCGGCGGCGGCGGCGCCGGTGACGGTCGGGCTGGGTCCCAGTCCCCCGCTGGAGCCGCACCACCCGCAGCACCACACCCGGCTATATGCCACTGGGCAGGGGTAACCTCGAGCGGCAGGCTGACACTGCTGCCGCATCAGGTATGTCTGCCGATTGTGCCACTCCGCAATCGCCTGAAGCATCGCCAGCTTCCTCATGAAACCCATCCCAAGCAGATAATTGTAGCAGGTTGTCATTCTGTATGGTCCTGGGAATATGTTTGCCAGGATAAGTCAAGTCAGGCCAGATGACTGTGTGACTAAAGCAGTGGATGTACTCGATGATGGCAAATTGCATGCACTTACCTGAGCATGTGCAAAGGACTGAAAGACCTGCTTGTCGTCTTCGCGCATCTCGGGGTCGATATCATCGAAGAGTAGTGCAAAGGCAACACAACCAAACTGAGAGACCTGGAACAAACAGTTGTTGCTACACACCAACAGCCAGTGGTTCTTCAAACAGCACATTCTTCTTCAGCACTTCCAATGATACACATTGTGGTGCACACACAGTCTCGACGGAAAAATGTTACTGATGTTGTTTAAACCCTTTTTGCAAATATTTTGCCATTACTGGATGCTTCTTCCAACATTATGAGTACTTATGCTGAAAAAACAATCTTTCAACATCCCTGGAGATACGAGTTAAATGAGGGTACTTGCAAGGCAGTGTTCATGATCACAGACAACACTACCATTACAACATTGGTGACCATGAAAACTGCCTTGAAATGTCAAATATTCTGATAATATATTCATAACAGCTCAAGACCATTCTTCCTTGTGTGAAGAGCTTCTTCCAATATGCCTACATACAGCCTTATAGCTCACACCTCCACCTATCTTGTATGGCTATGTGCTATCTTCCACCTCCACCTATACCCATGACCAGTCACATGATACCCAACCAGTCTTGCAACACCTCACACAAACTGGTCCACCAGCTACCGCTCCCACATCCCGCGGCCCCGCCTCTTGGGCCGGCGTGGGCACGCACCTGGTCCAGCTTGCGCTTTAGCGCGGCCATCTCCTTTTGACTAGAGTATGTGATGTCCATGCCGGGCGAAAGGCCATAGATGAATGTGACGCCGTGCTGGTGGGCTGTGCGGATCAGCGACGTTAAGTGCTCGGCTTCCTCTACCGTGTACATCTCCCGCCAGTAGGGCCCGGTGCTTGTAATCGTCCTTGGGCGCGTACAGGTACGACGTCATGCCCCAGCGCTTCATCCTGTGTAAACAGAGCTGCCATTAGGCCCTTGGTAAACTGAATATTGGAGTGATGGGCAAAGTGGGGATCTTTGTTTTATGTTAAGTGTGAATTTGATACAACAATGTTTTGGGTCTGATCAGTTGACATCATAATATATCACAATGATAGTTGCAAAGATAATGAAGCATGACATGTTTAAACACAGCAACACACCATTATCACCAATCTATTGTCATTTGACACCAAATTACCACCTAGAATACATTAATCTCAAGACCCAGCATTACAGAAAAAGCACAGCTCATTCTATGACTAATCTGCTCTGATGTAATATATATATACACACACACACACACATATATATATATATATATATATATATATATATATATATACAATATAACAAAATTTCAAGTCAGTATCAACAAACAATTCTCATACTCACTTTCCAAAAAGCTCCTTCCTTTGTTCAGCTGTCCATGGTCGGCCATAGAAACCTGTTGATAATGCCACCATTAGAAACGTGTCATGCAACCTCAATAAGACATGAATGGTAAGCCCATGAGCACGTTCACCACGTGTGTAAGAATAACTGACAAAGAATAGACAAGCAAGTCAGAATTTTGTTAACTTCACCTAGCACTGATAATGCATTGCAAAAGCAGAAAAGAAAAGCAGAGACCACCAAGAGAGAAAATATATGACATGGCTTGACACAACCTCTGAGCACAAAAAAACTAAACACAGCAACCTGGGACACCACAAGCAAGTCGGCTAAATGTACTAGGATAGGATCAATCGGCACTCCCAGCAGTTTCCACACATCACAAACCAATGCTAGATCAGTCTGAATGCTGTCATCCTCAAGTCAGGCATTAGAAAATTACACAACAATTCAGGAGGAGTTAGTGAATGGCTTCCCCTGAAGGATGCTCACTGTCTTTTCTAAGACAATACAGGGTCATCAATTATGAATCAGGAAGGGCAAATTAGACTTACCTATAAAACAGGAAGGATAAATTGGACTGAACTATGAAAAAGCAGACTTTCAGTTGGTATAAAACAAAAATTTGTGGAATGATCCAATCTAACTGCTTAAGAACAAGTTTCATGAAGCCTAACACTTTTGCAAAGAACCAAAAACTCTGACCTTACAAATTGGCATGGCTAAGTTACCTGCACCATTCCTCATCATATACATCTTGAGCTACTTTTCTACAGTAACATTACTCATTCAATGGCATATCATACTTTTTTGTCAGAAATATAATATAAAATTCACTTATTCAAATTTGCGGCTCTGGGTGTACCCCCCCCCCCCCCACCACAATTCACCTAACCTCCCCACCCTATATCCCCTTCAACCCAGCATCCCATTGGCATCCATGTTCCATGCCATGTGTAGGTGCTAGGATCAAATTTCATGGATTCTTGTTACCTTGGCTGGGTACATTTTTATGGTTCTTGGTGCTGCTTAATGCGCAGTAATGTTGTGACCGTGTGCAGTAATGGTGCCGGTGTCATGGCTGCTGTGTGTGTGCGGCGCTTGGGAGCTCGCCATCATAATTATAAAAAATTTGAAGGTAAGATCATGAATCTACCTGTTTTGTGATTATTTATCGATATGTCCCGCCTTAAATACAACAAATGGTGTACAATGATTTTTCTACCATTAGGTAGGAAAGTACACCCTGACTGATGCAAAGCATGATACTGTTCCTTATTTTGAAGTGATTGAACACACTGCACATATCTTTAATTGTAATAAAATAGCTATCACCTCATCTCATAGTACATTTGCTTTTGACATCAATAGTAGACAGAGCTGCAGTCTTGTATCTTTAAAATATAAGGTCATAACTAACTGGAAGGTCCCTTTGCAGATGCATGCCTACACAATTATTGGGTAAACTGCTTGCATATGAGCAAATCAGGTAATTTTTCTGAGGAAAGGCATGAAAACCCCAATAGACTATAAACTCACCTTCTACCACACCTGAGATAAACTTGCTCTGGTCATTTACATAGTTCTTATTACTATCTAAGACACTGTCACCATTTGGTATGCTTGCAGAGCACTGCCCTACTTGGGCACTTTCACCATCCGCTTGAGAGCTCGAAGCCATTCTGGTGCTCTTTAGCAGCATACACTAGAGCACATCACACGCCAACAACAAAATTTGGTGCTTTTCTTGGAAAAGCAAGACGACCACCAAACTATTCAAACGTGCATTAGGCAATACTGCCCTCCGAAATGCCGGACTAGTTGAGTTTCGTTCAGGGCCATGTAACGTCTCCCAAATTTGAGTAAATCGAGGAGAAATGCCCACCAAAAGCTCAAAAAGTCTCAAGTCGAAAGAAAGTACTCCAGACTTTGGCAGGGACGCCTATTTATGCAATACGATGCGATACAACTGTCCGTTACATCGCCCAACGAAAACGTCGCAGTTATCTCGGTTAGCAACAACAACAATGGCGGACACCGAGATTCTTCCAGCTGATAATGGGCAGCTTCGTTTATAAGCGACCTTAAAAATATGCAAAAGATTTTGCTAAGATAACGTAATAAGGTTATAAAAATGAATAGCCTGCACCTATTTCATATCCAATATTTTTCCAAACAAATATACACTGTTCAATATTTGACAAGGCACGGTGCAAATGTTTACAAAATATTTGACGAACGTGTTGAATAGAATAGTACTGGATCACACCTGTAAGTGTACATTGACGATAACAAGTACAAGAAAGACGAGCGACTGTTCGCAAGCCTTTCTCCACTGACTTTGGTGATTTTGCTGCCATCCGCCAACGAGTTTTCAAATCACACCACGTGATCGCAGGTTGCACGGCAGAATTTTTTACTGTGGCTATCACCACGGGCACCAGCACTACCACTGGCGAACGGAGATCTTGAGCGGCAAGCTGTACGCTAAGCTCTAGTACCAAAGCCTTTGCTCTATATTTTCATAAATACTTCGTTCTTCTATATGCCCGCTCGCAGTCACCTCAGCCAGGGCTGGACATCGCCCCTGGGAAATGTGGCTCCCGGATCCAGCGGACCTGGACCATTGGGGCCCAGTGAACCACAAACGGGCTCGCCTCCCTTCCCTCCCCCTTTTGAACAACTCGGTTTAAGGCCACCTTATTTTGAGAGTAGCCAACTGTTCTCGATTTTTCTAAACGACGAGATTTTGGTGTAAAATGAGCACGCAGACCCTGTGGCAAATGCAGGCTTGTCACATTTTTGACTTGACGAAGGTGCAGGTTTTTTTTTACTTCAGCTAAACGTAAAGGAAGCATGCCACGGTGTTGTGCTTTTCACTTAGTGTTAAATAAGACGTGTCCGATTTTATCGGTAATACCAATTTCCTCGAAATTCTTCTGAACAGCTCAGAATTTGGAGTTTGAGTAGCCGCTTCTATGGGAGAAATCCCATTGGTCACTCTGCTCACCTCTATGAAAGTCACCAGCATTTCATTTGCCTGGCTTTTCCATCGGGCGTGTTCTGCAATGTTTGCAATCATTGGCGGATCCAGAGGAGGGAGGCACGGCCGGGTCATGGCTCTCCATTGAGCCCCAAGGGGGGGGGGGGGGGCTCTTAGGCTCCGGAGGGGCCATAGGCGGCCGAACGCGAGCAGTTTTCAAACGCAAAGGCGCAACAAAATTGGACGTCTTTGGGCGCCCGGGTGACCGAACTAAAGTCGCAATAGAAAGCAAAGGCCTCGCGAGCGGATAAAAACAATATATCGCCGAATGAGATGGTGATGATAGGAAGTATTTTGAGACTCATTACGCTGTCAAGAGGCCCTGCGCTGTATCTAAGCCCTATGTGTCCACTTGCCAGGGAGATCCGGTCGCTAAGGAGCTTTGCATGTTCCCCCATTTTGTTGCATTTTCTAGAAGGGGCCCACGCTGTTCTCAGTGCGCTATCTTCCAGCATACTGAGACACTGTTCATCAATAAGGAGCTCTCCGTGGATTCTTCCCATTTGCTCAAAAGATTCGATGCCCTATAGCCAGAGGAGCCACATCCTGACCTGCGGGGGCACTGTCCGTTGCTCAGTGACCCTTCACCTTAGTCTTGGCTAACCCAACGACCCAGTGACATGTGCTCGCGGACCCTCTACATAAGTGACGGGCCGTTCCGATTATCGGCCACTTGCGGAGGGTCCTACGCTGTTGTTGGGCCCTGTCTTTAACCTGTTTGGGCGCACGCGATCGCTCGGAGCCCCTCCACATTGGGTTTTCCATACTTCTTGCTTGAACGGAATGCCCTACGATCCTGTCAGGGACCCCATCTGGTAACCTTCTCGAGCACACTCGATCGTTCCGGGGCCCTCCACGTTGGGTCTTGGTTACTCCAAATTTTAACATGCGCTCGGATGGGGTTCAAATTAACCCCCGCCCCCCGAAGGTTTTTGCAGAATGGTTTACGAACAGCGCGGCGCAGCCGCGCCAAATTTTGCCTAGGTGTGAACATTAAATAGTAAATCGTTTGGTATTAAAAATCTAGATGTACCTTGTAAGGTCGCTGACCTACGGCTGGTCAAAGGAAGACCATGAATTCTGCGAAGTAAATTTCTAGGGAATCGTGCAATCTTCTGCAACAGCGGAGTGTTAGACGGGACCATACACCTCTAAGATACTTTTTAGGCAACGTGACAATTGAATGTTCAAATTACATCGACCTAGGGTCAGTTTTGGAGGTCGGACCAGGGTCGGTCATTCTGTTTTATTATTCCAGGGTTTGCTGTATGGAATAGTTTCTGGTGCTCATTTCGAATATACTGATGGCAGGAACCGCATTATACATCTTCTATACACTTCTCAAAGGTCAGCATACGTCACTGACCTAAAATGACCCGGGTCAACATTTTGTTTTTAGGAACATACTGCCTAGCGTTATCTTTGTCGTTTATTCAAATGCAAAACTCATAGCAGTCTTGCATGATTTTGGTCAACACGACCTTGAAAAGGTCAAAAAGGTCACTGACCTTAAATGACCATGCGACCTTTTGCTTGGAACAGGTATCTATGTTCTGGGGGCACTTCAGAGACCAACCTGAAAGTTGACCTTGTTTGACCTATTTGACACGAAATTCATGATCTAGAAACTTCAAACTTTGACCTGAGTGAGTTCAGGTACAGACCAACCCACCCTGTAAATTTGGTGTTTCTAGCTCTCTCAGTTCCTGAGATCTCGGGGGGGGGGGGTAAATTGACCCCCACCCGAGGGAAGATTATCCAACCGGCCAACCGGGCCTGTGTTAGTGGAGTGCCTTACGCTCCTGTCGGGGGCCGCATCTGTTAAGATGCTCGGACACACCCGATCGTCCCCCGGCCCCCCACGCCGTGTATCGGGTGCTTGTTTGCTTGGAGGGCTCTACGCCCTTGTCGGGGCCCTATTTGTTGACCTGCCCGAGCCGCTGGCGGACCCGGAGGGAGGGGGGGGGGGGGGAGTAAAGCACGAAGCCATTTCGCCCGCGTTGGGTCTGAGTGACCGATAGGCTCCGAAATGGCTCATAACCGGACGAACAGCGCAGCTTTCCAACATACAGCACAACGAAATTGGACGTTTGTGTTTCCGGGCGACCAAGAACAGTCGCAAGTAGAAGGGCTCGTGAGCAGACAAAAAAAAAAAATCGCTGATTGGAAAAGCGGTGATTGGGGAGACTTTCAGCCTCATTACGCTGCCCAGAAGCCCTACCCTGTTACCGAGGTCCTATGTGTCCACTTGCCGGGTCAATCCGATCACTAAGGAGTCTTCCGCGTTGCCCTTGATCTCTGAATTTTCTCGTACGGACACGCTGCACTGCTGTCAGGACACTATTTGCTAACATGCCTGGACACTCTTGGTCGATTACGGGTCCTTCACGAGTTGTTCCCATCCGCCAGAGGGCCCTGCACTGTTGCTGGGGCCCGCACAAGATAACGCACCGAAGCACTCGATGCTGAGGGTCACTCTACATTGGCCTAAGGCTATTTCCCTTCGATCTCACCTGCGGAGGCCCTTCACACCTCGCGGGATCCTTTCTTTTAGCCTGCCTGGCTTCTCTTGATCGCACAGGGGCCCACTAAAATGATCTTGGTCACCTCAGGTTTGCTCTGTCTGATTTACTCAAGCTGTTGTCTGGTGCCCTATACCTTCGTGTGCCTCTTTGTTGGCCGGGCACGGCACCCTCGATTGCTTAGGAGCATTGCGTTGCGTAGCATCGTATTGCATTGCATAGGAGCAGGAGTATATATCTCGGAATTTTCCATCTTCTTGTAGGGCCTAAGCCGTTGACAAGAACCTAAATGTTGGCCGGTCGGGACACTCTAATCGCTCCGGGGCTCTCCACATTGGCCGCGGGTCATTCTGATCAGGTTAGAAGGATCTTTCTCTGTTGCCGAAAGCCCCACGCGCGCATACGAGCGTCAGTGTATTTCGCCTGCTCGCGCCTATGGGCCCGGCTAAATTAATCTGTGTGTACAAGTTCGAGATCTAAACGATGACGTTTCCCTTGGCGCCTTAGCCATTGAGCAGCAGTAGGATATGCGCCGATACATGTTGACGCGCACTTGCAGAATATAATGTCACGCGCCGCCGACGTCGTGTAGGGTATTTCCGTCGGTTATTTAACTTGTTTTTTATTTAATTTAATTTAATTTAGCTATTTAACTCACCCGTGACCTCACTTAAAATGCCACTCGTTCACCTGATGGGGTTAAAGGAGGTACCACTGTATTCGTTACGTCCACAACAATCGATGACCTTTTGTACCGTGTTCCTATGCACAAATGTGCAGCACATATGGTATGAACGGGCCAGGACACCTCATACGGTCTGCAGGGGTTATCACTCCAGGTAATTCTCAATCGTCCAATCAAAGTTTTCGTCAAACCAATCTGTTTTTGGCCACTCGATTCAATTGCACGCGCGGAATTTACGTTCCGTTAAATTCACATGTTGACAACATGACATCCCGTTAATGAACAACGTCGGTGCCCACTCGTCTAATCCTCCTTCGTCATGCCTTCATGCTTCCTTATTATTAGCGGTTTTTCTTAATCGCACTTCAGCAATTTGCACGTCATCGAAAAGACCCGTTGTCAATATGCACCCGTCACTTAGCGGTTAGGCTCGATATCGTAGCGTCGGAAAAGCATGGCACCCAAAAGCATTCGAATTCTTCACGTTCGGCGGAATCACTGCAGATGTGATCAACAAACGGGCGTGATGTGGTGTGAGAACGGAGGCGCGGCTGGATGTGAATTTGCACCAGGTTCAGACATGCCTCTGGCAGCCATCACATGTGGCTTCGATGCTTCCGTAAAACTTCTTATGACGCATGCTGAGGCTTTTCACGTGTTTCATACCATGTGTGGGACTACTCATCCTATGAAAGCAGCAAAAAGCGCATCATGGTTTGAGCTGTTTTGGCATGTGCGTTGATTCTGACTAAAATAATA